TGATAAAGGACTGAAACCCAGGCACTTATCATATAGAATAAGGGCATCCCAATCTGAAATCATGGGTCTGAAACTGCAGATCTTTATCTGTTCAACAAAATTGCCCATGCCCTCCTTTATTAAATTTCCTTGCCATGAGTCTACTTTCTGTCTTTAGGAACATGGCTATTTTAGGTACCCCTTATTAGTGAAATCACAATTTTTTTTCCTTTGGTGAAGAGCTTATTTCAGTTAGCATACCATCATCAAGTTCACCTGTGTTGTAGCAGGTATTAGAATATCATTCTTTTCAAGATTCGGGATCATCCCATTGTAGGTATGTACCACATTTTGTTAATTGATATGTCTGTAAGCGGACATATGAGTTGCTTCCACCTTTTGGAAATTATGAATAACATTGCAGTGAGCATTGTTATATGAGCACAATGGTGATAGATTTTTATCAATGACAAGTAGAGCATGTCAACAGTTTTGGATTTTGCACTATGAATCCAAAATATCCTCCCATTTTTTTTCCTAGTTACCTCCATCACCACCAATCCCCAGTCTCTGAGAAATTATGATGCCAGGATATCGCAAAGAATGTATCAGGTTATTTCTAAAAGTCATTGCTATTTTACCAAGATAACAGCCATGGGGATGGAAGGAATTAGGGGGAAAAAAAAAAGAGGGTTAGAAAAGCAAAGCAGCTCAGCACAAACTATTGTTTTAGAATAAATTTTCAAAACTAACCTACCCGTCTTTGCTGTTTTACTATTTACAGAAGGGCTGAAAAAATAGGGGTTTTGTCATTGAGGTGAAAGATACAGTGCAGTCACTTGCTTTCCAACATTTAGCTATTATTTGCCATGTTCAAGGACTTGCTTGTCTATCATTTGTCTCTAAGAGAGGAGGCACAACAGACAGTAAATATTTATGGAATAAGTGAATGAAATGAATTTTTAAAAATTAGTCATTGTGAATCTGTAGGCATTGTAAAAAGCATTATAGAACATCAAATAAAATCATCCCTGTTTACATAATGTCTTAAAACTAGCCAGTTAGAAATGCATTTCAAGATAGCTACGCGTAAACCAGAGTGCATGTGCAGAGAAAGGAAAGATTACTTCTATTCAGAAAGTTACAAAGAAAAATTAATTAGCCCAAGAAGGATTTTGACAGGTGAAAAAATAAAGTACATCCCTGAGTGACAGAAAATATTTGGTAGTGACAGAATTGTAACAATGAGCTGGGACTTCAGAAGCTCCCAGTTTGTTCAATAATCTTCTCATTGCTTGTTTCATTGAAGCTTCAGAGTGTCTTCCATTTTGCCAGTCCCAGGAGGAAGTAATAGTTCCTTATACGTCAAATTAGGAAACCAAGAAGCGCACAATTAATTAGCTTCACAAACTTAGTTTGAATCCAGTCTTTCTGGTTCCATAGACAGTGATGTTGGTTGCTAGAGTATTTTTATGACTGTGAGTTTCTTTTGGGCTGATGTATAAATTGTGGATATAGAAGCGGAAAAGATGGGTAAGACCAAAACTCCGTGGCTTGAACTAGTGGATGAAAATGTTATCAGATTTTTGTACTTTGAGTTCAAGTACAAAAATCACATTTCAATGCTTAAAATATGTTAAAGTCCTTTGGATGCAATATTTAAGTAGACATTGTAAAGAATAGTTAAAAGGCACTGAATGTTAACAGTTAATTGTACAAATGATCTTTAGTACTCATTTGTATTTTTTTAGTTTAAGCGTGTAAATATATCTAAACACTTCACTTTTATGCAATTTTGCTGAAGTCTTTCAAAAATACTTCCTCTTCAATATTTGTATTTAATAGAAATGTGTTCTGGCATATTCTGAGCTGTGATAATCTTTTTCTCAATAATACAATTCAAAATATATCAGAAAATAAAATGTCTCATATAGACAAGAGATATGAACCAATTAATGAGACTGTCCAGTGAAAAGTTATGTATTTTAATGGGTGGAAAATAATATAAAAAAAAGAAAAATGTTCCAGATGAGTAGAAAAGTGAAACTCTGAATTCGATGGGCAGCACAGGCTTACAATGAGTTTTTTGCCTAGATGAAAAAAATCTAATGTAAATATTTGTATTCATCATCTTGCCATTTCTAGCAGTGGTATGTATTAGAAATAAAAGCTAATAGAGTTATAGAATAACAGGATGAAAAGGAGATGCACAAAGCAGCAGCATCCTCTAATATAGTTTGTCAGTGGATATAATGGCGTATGTGTCAACATGGTTAGACTATGATTCCCAGCTGTTTGGTCAGATACTAAGCATAGAGGCTGCTGAGAAGAAATCTGTGACTGTGATTAATATGCACAATCATTCACTTAGAGTGCAGCAGTTTATTTGCAAAAATCTGAGAGATCTTTCCAAGTCCTTAAAAGCAAAGACTAACATTTCCTGAAGAAAAAACAGTACTTTCCCACACTGCAATGTAAACATCTTTCATCAGTTCACATCCTGCGTGGTCCACCACATGGATTTTGCACGGCGTTCAGACCTGTTAGTTTTCACAATAGTGCATTCCATTTGTAAACGTACATCTCTTTATGTATGCTATTGGTTCTCTTTCTTTGCAGGAACCTACTGAAAACAGTGGCCAAACTATAAAGCCCAGAGAAATGTCATGATTTTCCTAATGTCACTTAATAAATGGTAGCAGGGCTACCAATAAAAAGATAAGGAAACTGGGTCATAGAGTTGTCTAAAATTTCAATTACGAGGCTCGAAGAGAAATTAAGCTCTGTAAACTTTCTACTTGGTCTTCCTAGTGAGATGCAGTCAGGGAATTAAAAATCCTAAAATTCAAACCAGGTAAAATAGAGAAATTGTTTTTTTTCTTTATCAAAAGATAAATCACATGTGGAGAATCCCCCCCCCCATTTAAGGTAGTTTTATTGTGTGTGTGTGTGTATTATATACACACCTTTGTGTTCTTTTCAGGGTATATAAGCTCAATACATTGGAACAGAAATATTTTGAAAGTATATTTTGGAGTATATTTAGTATTTAGCATACCCGCTAAGTTCCATTTGAAATATTCATGTTGCACATGCGAGGGCAGTGTCCAGCTCTGCCTCCCAACTTCAGCTTGGTGCTAACACAGCTGCTGGGAGGCAGTGGTGATGGCGCAGGTAATTGGATTCCTTGCACCTACAGAAGAGATCTGCATTAGCGTCCTGTCTTTTAGCTTGGGCCCTGGGAGAATAAACCAGAAGATAGAACATTCTCTCTCTACCTCTCCAATTAAAAAAAAAAATAATGTATTTTTGCTTAAAAATATTCCACATATTCAACAATGACATCATCCTCTTGGAATTGTACTTCATGAAGCTAGAACAGACAAAAAGAGATAAATACACACGCTGTTATTGTAATCAGCTGAAGGCTCTGCCTTCTGGATACTTCACACACTGTGGGTTATTAGCGCCATTTTCAAAATGGGAACATCTGGGACTAATGGAAGCCAGGTACATACCCAAAGTACTCTGAGACAAAGCACCTGACTTCCAGAGATACGCTGCCTTTGTTTCTTTCCATGACACCCCCAAAACACCGGCATTTCATAGCAGAGTGGTTTGTACATGTTTTTTCGAAGAATACTACGGTGACCTAGTTGCCACCCTATTTTAAAGAATATGTGGGTTTTACTTGTAGGAATATTAAGACATGCCTGCAGGAAAACAAAACAAAACAGTATGTCTCTCGTACCGAAAGATAACCCTGCCTTATCCTCTTGGAACTACAAATTGATTCTATGGGAGAATGGAAGATTTGATGAAAAGGATGAGTGATTTTCTCCAAGTTCCCCATACTGTTCCCTTACTGTGGCTGGATAATCTTTGGACTCAGTGTCTTATAAAATAGGCTTGAGGGTTCATTAAAATATGCTAAACAGGTTTAGTGAACTGAAATAATTTTTCCCACATTTCCTAGTTTTCTCTTTCTCCTACCTAGATGTTTATTGTGTAAATGTAGTTGCATGTCCTTCAGGGAAAAAAAACACTTACACAACAGTGCCACGGAAGTAGCTGTGTTCCATCTTCATGCTCTGGGTGGCTAAGAGCCAGCACCCTTGCAGCCTTTCTCATCCATTCCTACCCAGGCCTCACGACATCTCTCATCATGCTTCTAAGATTCCATCTCCTCATCAGAGAACCTAGGCAGCTCTTTGGCGGCTCTATGAGTTATTTCTCTTGAGAGAGTCCTCTCTCTCTCTAGTCTGCCAAGGGATGAAAATCCAAACAGTCCCATAGATCACTTTGGGTAGTGCCAGATATGTTCCACCAAATGTTACAGACAGTAATTACAGCGTGTCCCTGGGAGAGGCGGCACTTTTCTTTCAGCATCAGCTTCAGTCTTGCCCGCCGTCATGAAACCTACTGGACCAAGGCAGGTTTTTCCCTAGAAATTACTCAGATTTTTCAGGAACGGAGACTGAAAGGTGGGTGCTGCATATTTTTTACTATGAAATGTCTGCAGCACAAGTGCCAGGAGTTGAAGACGAAACTACCTTTAATTTCCTGCCTTAGCCCAGCACCACATTCCCCCATAGCCCAAGTGCTGGCAGAGACCATCCTTTGGTGACCAGCTGAGATGTGGGCTCTGGCTGAAGGAGAGGCCTCGCCTGGCAGAGTTCCCCCCACCCCAAAAAAGGAGCGCTCTTGGGTAATTTCAAAGTCCTGAAGGCTGGCTGGAAAGTCTGTCCCTCACTACCCCCAGAGTGCACTTGGGAGGCAGGTTTCTTTGCAAACTGTCCTTTTACACGAGGGATCAGGAAATCACACCAAGAGGGCACAGCCAGACCTTGGACAGAGCAGTTAAGTAAAATCAAGTTGGGGGTAGGGCGAAGATACATTCATAACACAAGATCAAGCCAAGGGACGCTCAGAAGGGCTATGGCTACAGGAAGCACAGCCGCTCAGGAGGGGTAAAATTGGAGGAGGGTGTCTGGAGGAGCAAGCTGAGCACCGACGTCAGAAACAAAAGCGCCAGCGGAGTCAGGTGCAGGCACTCAGGGAGCATGGGGTGTTTTGAATAATTATTAAAATTAGCATGTGTCTGCGCCATCCTGTGGGTGTGGCGCAGAGCGGAGTGTAAACTCCAGCGGGCTGGAGCAAACATTGGATTAGCGGCAGCAGCCTGTCAGCCTGCCGGAGGAGCGCGAGGAGCAGCGCGCTGCACGCCGCCCGCCACCCTCCACCCGCCACGATGGCTTCGTCCCAGGGGAGAAACGAGCTCAAATTCGCCGACTGGATGGCAACTCTCCCGGAGAGCATTCACAGCATCCCCCTCACCAATTTAGCCATCCCAGGTAGGCGCGTGGAGGCTGCCTGCTACCCGGCGCGCGGCGCCCATTGCATGCACCTGCCCCGCCCTGCTTTATCAGCCGCTAAACGGTAACTTGTCGCGGGGCCAATGGAAGGAAAACTCGGGGTTCTCTAGGATGAGGTTTGGTAGCTTGGGGGCTTCCTAGCATTCTCCAAACCTCTGGGGGACTCTGGCTCCAAGAGGCAAGGTGACTGTGCCCCTCCGTCCTCCCCCCCCCCCCCCCCAAGTCTGAAACTGTCTGTGTGCGCAGGGCTGGGGCAGAGGAAAACGCATTACTCTCTCACGATTTGCCCTGTAGATTTGAGGGGTGGGATGATTTTGGAGTCTGGGGGTGGCCATACGGGGTGAGCTCCAGCTGCGCCCCAGGGCTCGACTCTGGCCCCTGCACCTGAGTCCATCCCTGGCACAGAATTGAACATCTTTGGTAGATTCTCGGTTCGAACCTATTCGAATCATTAATATTCGTCCCCAGTCTCCTTTGAAGAGACAAAAACGCTCCAGAAGAGTGATTAAAGTTCAGGGACCTACAAAGGTGAGAGCGCGCCCTTGACCGGGAGCTAAAAGGATGGCGAGAGGCAGATGACACCGTTTCCTGATCTGCTTGGACCCAAAGGGCCCTGGCTCAGTGGTCACCGTCTGGAGTGTCTGGTCCCAGGGCGTGTTAACAATGTATCGCGCTCCGGCTGGGAGCTCCCTGCTGACCCGGCGCTTGCTGCCTGGCCCCAAAGGCCAGCAGGGGAACCTGCGTAGGCAGCCATGGGATTAACCGGGAAATAGTATGGGTGGGGGGATTGCGCCGCTGTGCCTACAGCCTGTAAGGAAGCGCAGCCAAAGCCGGGAAGAGTGGGAGACATCAAGAGGTTTCAGCATGGCGCGAGTGAGTTGGACCAGAGAGCTGGGCAGGTTTCTGCGGCAGGAGCACACAGCAGCCTCTAGTGCAGGTGGCCGGAGGGTGGGTCGTTGCAGGACATTTTCTAACGCTGGTAGCTGCGGACTTGGCCGGACACACGTTGTTACCAATTTGTGCACGTGGGCTGAGGGAGCACACACCTGATCCTGCTAAGTCTGGGCTAGAGGGCAAATTACTCATAGGTTGTCCACCTGAGTTGCATGGTTAAGTTCAACCTTCTAGCCTCCCTCCTCTGGAGTTGGCCCATTCAAATTCTCTAGCAGTCATTGAGCAGAACAGTAAAGGATCCCTTTTTATGTCCCTTGTCCTAGCTCCCCCCACCACCACTAGTTATCCCCAGAAAGTAGAAAGGAAGTCCCTTTTGAAATTCCAAGTGGTCCTCTTGGAAATTACTGGAATGTTAGTAAGGCGGGTGGGTGCCTGTGGTGGGCCAAGCTACCCCACCATTGCTGGTTCCAGAGCGCTTGTTTCCTTTTGCCCTGGTTGCTCACCCAGCTTCTCAAGGAAAAGAACACTCCAGCTTCTCCACTCTGCACCTGCCTGGCTCTCTGGGTGAACCTGGGAATAGGTTCTTTTAAATGAGCCAGTAGAAAGCACACAATTATGCTGGCAGAATTCCCGTCTCCCTTCCACAAGCTTTCCCATCGTCTTGTTCCCCGCCTACGTTGTTTCCGGACAATTGTTTCCTTGTGGTCTCACCTCAATGTTTTGTGAATGCTCAGGAAGCAAGAAGCACAGCACAGCCTTCTTACAGGTGAGGGACTGCCCAGAGAAGAGCCTGAGCTGGCCTAGCTGATTCTGTGGACGGTGTGACGCCATGCCTGAAAACGCCTTGTGTGTCTGTAATTCACTCTGCAAAGCATGGCGAGGCATGTGGGCTCAGAACATTCTTCTCCAACCCCCACGAAGCAGGTCATGTTGGTATTATTCATTTTATTGGTGAAAAATGTAAATCTCATTACAGGCAAATGATCTTCACTCAGTTTGTTGATCTCAACCTCAATTAAGACCAAAGGAAAGATCCCCTAGGAATTTGGGAGGAACAGGTCTTAGCATTTGGGGCTGGGTGATTCAGTAGCAGTAAGGACGAGAGCACTTCCAAAAGATCATGGAAAAAAAAAATAAAATGAAAAGTTGGTTACTTTGGTGTGAAAAAAATATTGAAATCTAGGTGCAGCTTTTTTTTTTTTCATAATATGGGTTTTCCATGAATCTTTGGAGTTCTCTTGTACTAACTAAATGAAGAGAAAGAACTAAGTATTGCTAGAACAGGGCAATATTCCTCTTCTCTCCATAAGACAAAGTGGAAGTGTGCAATTAGGGGCTGGTATTTTGATGATAGAGAAAAGACACAAGGTTGATGGCACTGAACATTGTGGGCATTTCCTTTGCTTTCTCAACTCTGTCAGTGCTATGTGCAAATGTGTCCCCTGTAAATGCTCACGTTCTCACCCCAAAACATCTTAGCATCTCCCCTTCCCCACATTTTGCAAAATCTGTGATTCTATTTCTGTGAATCTATAAATCAAGCTTGGTAGGTCCAGACATGTGAAGTCAGGTTTTAAAATAAAATGAGCTTGGCACCTCCTTTCTGCCTTGATACTGAGAGTTTGGGGAAGAAAGATGTTCAAACTTTGATAGTCAAAGCAGACTAATTGGAGACTATTAAACACTAATGGAATAATTGCCTTAAAATCATGCTAATAGCTTCCTGGCTGCTACTTGTTTACTTGGCCAGTTGCTAGAGCTTGAATTAAGCAATTATCTCCACTATTTAAGCCCACTCTTGGTGCACCAGACAAGTGTTTCTGTAGAGGGCAACTGCTGCTCAGCCATCCTCAAAGCTTCAGGTTTTCCTAGGCGAAGCAACTGGAGAGTGAAACAGCTGTTAGAAGGCCACGTAGCTGGGCCAGCTGACCCAGATTTCCCAGCGCAGGAGCAAAGAACAAGGTGCACCCCTGTGATATTCCCGATCATCAGTGCAGCGCTGGCACCTCTCAGTGTCTCTGCATCCTGAATGCTTGATGAACCCCGTTGCTCATGCCTGTTCCGCATTTAAATGGTTCAGTAATCTGGTATTGACTGGACTGAGCAATTAGGTTAGCAACTGGTGTCGGTGGTTGTTCTTGTAGTTCACTTTTCGAAGGAGTGGCATTGCCAGATGCACTGATAGCTCTCAGATGTCAGTGTCCTTTATTTCTCTCTTTGAGGGTGCCCAGTTGAGTTTCATTCATCTGTATTTGTTGAACGATGGGGTTTTGGGATGTGAATGGTACATCTTCTCACCACAGACAGGTGAGAGAAGACAGATACGGATGCAGGAAGACAAAAGATCAAATTCAGGTGAAGGTGAGTGTGATGAAAATTGGACATCTTTGAAGCACACTTTTGCTGGTTCCAGAATCATTGCGCAAGAAAAACTGCACATGGATTTTCAAATCTGGGGTCATCAAATTTGTTTTAAAACTTTGTTTCCACAATGTAACATGGATGTAACATCATATAAAAGCCCCACCATGGCAATAAATACAGTTTTGATAATCTAGTCACAGGACAGGGGGTCCTTGCATAGTAAATCCAGAAGATTTGGAAGAATTTAGCTCAAGGAAGGGGGCACTATGCATTTTCTGGTACGTGATGAAAATATTTCTTACCTAGTACAGCAAAGTGATCATGCAACGTTGATCAACCTGTCAAGATGTTTAGGGACTGGAACTTGAGAGAAGTGTGTTTTCTTAAGCAAGGAGTTACACATTTCATTCATAGAATAAATGTAGAAATACCTTGTAAATCAGTAATTATACTTGTGATTGTTTTAGTTTCCTTTAGAAAGTGCCAACACCATTAATAAAGCAACAGTTTCACTCAAGGAAGCTAGGTGTTTGTACGACTCTGGTTTCTGTGTTTTGTAATTTTTAAATTATTTATTCATTTCTGTCGTCACAATGAACTCTTGCTGAGCCAACAGAGTTCTTTTACCTTGTCTTTCCGATTTACTAGTTTGTGTGAGTGTGTGTGTTTCTAATTTGCTATTCTTATTTAAACTGGGACACCAGGATGGACAGGATGGACCTGTGATGGGGTCTAATAGCCAAGGCACATTTTTGGCCCAGTCTTTTTAGTGAAGATGGTGACAAGGAAGACCTTGTCAAGGCAATTAAAAAGCAACACCATCACTAAGGATAGCTGTCTTTCCACCTTTGTGATTCCATGTTTTGCTTTTCCTGTTGTTGAAAGGGAAAACTGTCAGACTGCATAGACCATAAATTGTTTTTTTCCTGATGCCTGGAATTTCCAAAGTGCCTCATGGACTGTTTTTTCACACGACTCTCAGTGGTCTTCTTCAGCTTTGCTTCTCAACGATGACCATGAATCCATAGCAGGGTCCACAGGGGCTTGGTTAGAATTGTAGTGTCTCAGCCCCCACCTCTCATATCATCTCAGTGACAACTTTGTACTAACCAGGACTTCAGCATATCTCTAAGGGGAATTTATCCCTAGGTATCAGAGCTGAATTTAAATATAAGCTTTTCATGGGGCTCTTCCAATTGGGCAGTACAATCTATCCACAAGTGATCAAACTGACAATAAGACTGAAAACCAGAACCCCATAATTGACTCTACTAATGGCCCTGGTAGGGAACATTTCTGATAGCTGACATTAGAGTTCACCGGGAGCCTTAAATGTGAGTTAATTGCTATTTAAGTGTTCAAATTAGGTCACTGTGATAAATGTAAAATCTTGCCTCTCATTTCCTTAAAATCTGGCTGTTCATGGATATTGGCCATCAACAGCACCAACAATCATCCAGCTTAGTGGACACTAATGACAATTTAGGAAACAGATCTGAGTTGGTTCTTTGTCTATTTGGGGGCACCCTTGCCTTACACATGCCCAACTGCTTTTATTATATTTAAAAGGTGTATGTTGGTTCAGTGTAAGCTAGATTTTCCAGCATCACTCGAGTAAAAGTAGCCTCATGTGTGCAAAATATATTGGTAATCAGCATCAGGAAGTCATGTGAAGCAAAAGCAAACTGTAAATTGGCTTGTATTATTTTGGTGTTATTTTT